TTCCCTTGTTCTCTCGTATCCTATCTTATCCTAAAGTCTCTTTCGTTACCCATGCCAAAGACATTTAGCACCTGGAACGGCTTGCCTGGAATACAGGTACTAGCATATCTACAGCAGGAGAAAAAAACAAAACCCAGAACGTCCCATTCAGATGTAAAGTCAAGGTCAGAAAGAAACTAGGGAGTTCAGGGCTCAACCAAGAGCTGGACTCTTTTTTTTTTTTTTTTAATAATTATTTCACTTGACTTTTATTTATTTACTTTTTTTTTTTTTGGAGAGGTGTTTGCTATAGGGCATGTGTACTGGACAGAAAGACAGAGAGACAGAAAGTGAGAAATCACTCCCCCCAGGGAGGATGGCCACGCTGTAACCTTTTCCTCCATTCTCCTCTCAGAATATTGGGCACGCACGCATGCACATGCACCCAGTGTGAGTTTAAGCCACCGGGTCCAGGATTCGAACCACAGTTGACTACATGGGAGTCCAGCGACATAGCCATTACACCAAGTGCTGGTCCCTTGAAAAGATCTTTTTAAGCTAATGAAATTTTAAACATTATCTAGGAACTCATAATTCTAGGGGCTAGCAGGTGGTATGGTGATTAAGTGCACTGGACTCCCACACATGGCTGACCATGGTTCAAGTCCTGGACCTGATGGCTTGCTTTCTTTCTTTTCCTCTCTCTCTCTCTCTCTCTCTCTCTCTCTCTCTCTCTCTGTGTGTGTGTATTTCTCTGGTCAAATTAAAATAAAATGAATGAATAAATAAAATTAAATATATCATTATAAAATAATTTTTAAAAAAGAATTATTTTATTTGGAGCTTGCAGGTGGCGTCGTGGTTAAAGGCACTTAGCATCCTTAACCATGCCATCTCCTGCTGGCCCCAAAAAGGTCTTTTTAAAAAAGAATTATTTTATTTAATGTTTTTTAAGAATTATTTTTAACTTATCTTTACTGCTTTTAAGGAATTATTTTATCTAACTTTATTTATTTATTTATTTATTAAATTTGGACAGAGAGGGAGAGAGTATGAGAAAGAGAGAGAGGGAAAGTGAGAAAGCAAGCTGCCAGGTCCAGGACTTGATCCGTGGTCGGCCATGTGAGAGTCCAGTGCTCTTAACTACCATACCACTTGCGAGCCCCAACTTTATTTATTTTTGACTAGAGAGAGAGAAAGTGAAAGAGAGAGAGAGAGAGAGAGAGAGAGAGGAAGCAAGCTGCCAGGTACAGGACTCAAACTGTGGTCGGCCATGTGGGAGTCCAACACCCTTATCCATCATGCTACCTGCCAGCCCTCCCCTTTTTTGAATTATTTTATTTAACTTTATTTTTAAAAATTTGATCCAAGGGGGACAGAGTGCATGTGTGCGAGAGAGGAAAAGTGAGAAAGCAAGCCACTAGGTCTGGGACTTGAACCACTGTGCAACCTGCTGGCCCCAAGAGGTGAATTCTTTCCAGTAGCCACATTTGTTTCTTCTGTCGTGTAGTAATGCATCTCTTCTGTCCTCAGATAGAACTCAGAGAAACAGCAGAGTGGCAGCTTAGGAAGGTGGATTTGCTTAGTGGAAGTGTTGGAAAGAGGTGAAAATGCCCTTCTTTGGGGTTGGCTGGTCCCATTAGATCACAGCCTACTTGAAAGAATGGTATGTAGGCAGAGCTACCAGCGACCCCTATCCTCCCTAAGCATCTCTTGGTTTGTAGTAAACCCCTTCTGGGATCATGAGCTATATAGAACTTACCTCTGTGTCTTCAGAGTCTGTAACCGATACAGGCCCATTTTGAGGAAATGGGCCCTGCTTCAGATTTCCTGCCATTTCACTATGCCTGGGAGAGCCTCACTGCTATGGTAAGATTTCCCAGTATCCTGCGGGCCTGTATAACCTTCCTTCCCAGCGCTACTCGGTTCGCCTGGCTCTCAGGAACCTTCTCTGTCCTCCCTTTCAGACCTCTATAATTGCCAGCCTTGTGGAAAAGAAGAGTGGGCCCCTGAGGGAAGCCAAACCTGCTTCCAACGCACTGTGGTGTTTTTGACTTGGCATGAGCCCATCTCTCAAGTACTGTTGGCGGCTAATACACTGTTGCTGCTGCTACTGGTTGGGACTGCAGGCCTGTTTGCTTGGCACCTGGACACCCCTGTGGTGAAGTCAGCTGGGGGCAGGTTGTGCTTCCTCATGCTGGGCTCCCTGGCAGGGGGTAGCTGCAGCCTCTATGGCTTCTTTGGGGAGCCCACACTGCCCACATGCTTGTTACGCCAGGCCCTCTGGGTCCTCGGCTTTGCCATCTTCCTGTCTTGTCTGGCGATTCGCTCCTTCCAAGTGGTCATCATCTTTAAGTTTTCAACTAAGGTGCCCACTTTCTACCATGCCTGGGTTCAAAACAATGGTGTTGGCCTGTTCTTAACAATCAGCTCAATGACCCAGCTGCTTCTCTGTGTAATTTGGCTTACCGTATGGACCCCTCTGCCGACCAGAGAATACCAGCGCTTCTCCCAGCTGGTGATGCTTGAGTGCACAAAGACCAATTCACCGGGATTCGTGCTGGCTTTTGCCTATAATGGCCTCCTCTCTATCAGCGCTTTTGCCTGCAGCTACCTGGGCAAGGATCTGCCAGAGAACTATAATGAGGCCAAATGTGTCACCTTCAGCCTGCTGCTCACCTTCGTGTCCTGGATCGCCTTCTACACCATGGCCAGCGTCTATCAGGGCGAGTACCTCCTTGCAGCCAACGCGCTGGCGGTGCTAAGCAGCCTGAGCGGCTACTACAGCGGCTATTTCCTCCCCAAGTGCTATGTGATCCTCTGCCGCCCAGATCTCAACAGCACACAGCACTTTCAAGCCTCTATACAGGACTACACGAGTCGCTGTGGCTCCACGTGACCAAGGGGAGCAGGGAGGGTCAGACCCTGGGCGGGGCGGACTGTAAGCCTTGCGGGCCCGGGCCCTGAGGATGGCAGATCGAGCCGGCCTCAGGGCCTAAGGCGTCCGAGGTCTCTGGATTCCTTGGTCTTGGCTTGGGTTGTGCACACAGGAGAATCGAATCCAGACCCCAGGCTGCCAATAAAAAGGTGAAATGTGTGTCTGCGTCTTGGTGCGCTTTCCGGCTAGGCAGAGAAAAGGGCACTCCTCTTTATCGCTGAGCCCAGAGCCTGGCAAGACAAGCGCCCAGTTTGGTGTTCCTAGGCAACCTAGAGAGGCGGGCGCAAACGGGGACGGGGAGAGGCTGGGGGGGTACTGGCCACGCCCACCCGCATCCCGTTGGCTGTTCTCTGTGGGCCCCGCCCCCAGGGGTCAGGGCAGGAGAAGACCTACACTATCAGGCGTCCCGCCCCTGGCTGGCGCTCCCTGACGTCACGTCCGGCGCAGCGACGGCGGCGTTTCCGCACGGTCGGCCGGGCGCTTTCCTCCAGGCAGTTGGTCTGTGGGCAGTGGAGACAGCAGAGCCCGGGGTCAGCGGGGTCAGCGGGGCCAGCGCAGTGAGGACCCGCCTGGGTGAGGAGGGCGTGCGGCGAAGGAGGGCGGGGCTGCAGGCCTCTGTAGTCACTGACGCGCGTGTGGCCGCGACCATCTTCCGCCCATCCGCTTTGGACCTGTGGGCGCGGCGTGGGCTCCCCTCACCTGTCCGCCGCCCTCTGCCTCCCGGGGTTCTCTCTCTGTACCTGGCTGGTAGCTCGTGCTCATCCTCTGCCTCTCCTCCACACTGATTCCTCCCACCGGCACCCTTCGGGACTTTGCCCTGTTCCTCGCGGTGCTCCTTCCCCTAGCTAGTCTTCCTGCGCCCCAGCCACCATCCTATCTGGCCAATCCAATATGGCCCCCGCCCCCCGGGAAGCTGTCAGTCGATTCCTGTTCTCCGAGTGCATGCTTCAAACGTGGCCGGAGCCCCCGTTCTCATAACTGTGGTTGAGTAGGCTCCATCCAGCCTCCCCTTTTTATTCTCAAATCCAGGGGCTTTCTCTTGTTTACCTTTAGTTGAGTTGGCCAGGGTGTCACTTTTCCCTTCCTCCCTTCCAGACCATGGACGGCTCTTTCGTCCAACACAGTGTGAGGGTCCTGCAGGAGCTCAACAAGCAGCGGGAGAAGGGCCAGTACTGTGATGCCACCCTGGACGTGGGGGGCCTGGTGTTCAAGGCGCACTGGAGTGTTCTTGCCTGTTGTAGTCACTTCTTCCAGAGCCTCTACGGAGATGGCTCAAGAGGCAGTGTTGTCCTCCCTGCCGGCTTTGCTGAGATCTTTGGCCTCTTGTTGGATTTTTTCTACACTGGGCATCTCGCCCTCACCTCAGGGAACAGGGATCAGGTTCTCCTGGCAGCTAGGGAATTGCGAGTACCAGAGGCTGTGGAACTGTGCCAGAGCTTCAAGCCCAAAACCTTGGTGGGACAGGCACCAAGTGGCCAGAGTGGGCTGGGGAAACCTGCCTCCCGGGATTTGAACAACCACCTCAAGGAGCCAGTGGGCTTGGAGGAAGAGGAAGTTTCAAGGACTCTGAGTCTAGACCCTAGGGATCTGGAGTCCAGAGGCAATCATAGCCCACAGAGGCCCCAGCTCAGTCCTCCTGCTCAGACTGAGAGTTCCTCCTTCTTCTGTGGAAAGCTGAAGCAGGCTCTGAAGCCATGTACCCTAGAGGATAAGGAGCCTGAGGACTGCAAAGTGCCCTCAAGACCCTTTGAGGCTGAAGGTGCCCAGCTGCAGGGCGAGAATAATGAGGTACTGTGCTCAGGGTGCTGGAACCGGGGAGGCAAGAGTAACACTTCTCAGGGGTAATCTGGACTCCAAAGCAGAATCTCTGTTATGGGGTTTGGAATAGGTTTCCTACAGACATAGGGAGCTGGCAGCCTCAGGCTGGCCTTTCATTGACTTATAACGCTCCAGGGTTGCCAACTTCCTGGGGGTGGAGTTGGGGGAGTTGCAGGTGTTTTCCCAGGATAGTGAGATCCAGCCAGGCTTCTACTTCCGCCTAAATGGAGCCTCTGCCCTCCAAACCTAAGATCCAGATGCTGTCTGCCCTGGGACCCTGAAGGGAACGGCCCTGAGAAAAGGTCTTTTGTGGGTTGGGGCTCAGGATGGAACTGGAGGTGGATCCCCACAACGCTTGCTGCCTCTTCTACTCTAGTGGGAAGTGGTGGTTCAAGTTGAAGATGATGGGGATGGCGATTTCGGTTCTGAGCCTGAGGCTGTGCTGACCAGGAGGAAGTCAAACATAATCAGAAAGCCCTGTGCTGCTGAGCCTGTCCTGAGTGCAGGTTCCCTAGCAGCTGAGCCTGCTGAGAACAGAAAAGGTACAGCGGTGCCAGTTGAATGCCCCACATGTCATAAAAAGTTCCTCAGCAAATATTATCTAAAAGTCCACAACAGGTAAACATTCTGTTTTTCTGTTTTCTTTTCCTGCCTGCCATTCTCATGTCGGGGGAGGACTGGGCTATGCAGGGGCTAGGGGCTCTATTTTAGACCCACATTGTGCCCAGTGTTGGCACAAACTTTGATCATCAGGGACTGTAAACCAGGTTGGATTCTTTATCTTCCCTCCCTTACTGTGAGTCCTCTGGTTAGAGGGGTTCATAGATACCTTGTCAATAGATTCTACCCACTCTGGACCTTGACCTCTAGCTGGCTCCTGCTAGGGGAATGAAAGAAGACTGGTCCCTATGCTAGAGCAAAAGCCCAACCTTAGCTATTTGTAAAGCCTGGCAGTTTGGGCTTTTGGCCAAGAAACTGATCATTAGAGGTGTTGGTACTACCTGCATTACTGGGGACAAGTTAGCTCCGGGATGTCAGCAGAACATAAAAGACCATTTGTGTAAAACTGCAGTGTGTAATAAGGTAACCAGGAGCCCCATAGGGCCGTTTTAACTTCAAATTAATTAAGATTAAATTAAGAATTTAGTTCCTCAGACACACTAGTCACACCTCAAGTGCTCAGTAGCACACTGCTTCTGACTGCTGACGTGGACGGTGCAGACAGAACATTGCCATCATCGCAGAGTTCTCTTGGACAGTGCTGCCCTGTGATCCCTGCAAGGCCTTGGAGATGGCAGCTGGGTGACGTGCTTCCTAGTCCTGCCGTTCCCAGCCGACATCACTGATCCATCATGGTGCAAGCCAGCATACCTTTATCAGTGTAACACTCAGGGGAGCCACTAGCAAAGGTCCAGAGCGGGAGCCCTGCGTGAAAGCTGTTTGCTAGCCCACGAGTTTTGTTTTTGGGGAAACTGCTACCAGTGAGTCTTTGGGTAATTCCAGTTTTGGGGAGTCTCTGGGGGCCAGTTCATGTTCTGCCTGGCTGCTGCTGGGCATTTCATCAGCCTGATTTCAGAATGAAGCACTGTCTCCATCTCCACCTTGGCCTTCAGGTTACTGGACTGGCTCTGAGAACTGGGAGGGAAGTGATGGCTTCATGAGGTCATTGTGATAGGGAACGAGGATAGTTGATAGAGTGGCAGAGGACGACAGGAGCACTTGGCCTCTGGCATGTTATCAGAGTTTTCCTAGTCTAAGGTCAGGGTTGGTTTAGTTCATTTGATCAGCAAAGTGTCTGGTAGCCGACACAGTGGTGTGGGCACGCAGGATATATCAGTGTACCTAATGGAGTTTACCTTCCTGCTTGGCAGTGCAGATGGCAAAGAAAAAGAAAGAGCAGGGCTAGGAGTTGGCAAGTTCAGGGGAAGTCAGATTGAAATTTTATTTTATTTCACAAATTTTTTTTTTTAGAGAGATTTTTGCTATAGAGCACATGTGCTTGTGCGAGAGACAGAGACAGAAAGTGAGAAATCACTCCCTAGAGGTGGTCCTCTATTTTATTTAAAGAATTATTTTGGGACCAGCAGATGGCTTAATGGTTACATCACAAGACTCTCACAGTCGACCCTGGTTTGAGTCCTGGACCTGGTGGCTTAAATTCATGGTAGTGTGTGTGCATGTGTGCCCAAGATCCCGAGAGGAGAATGGAGAAGAGATTATGGCATGGCCATCCCCCAGGAGGTGATTTCTCTCTTTCTGTCTCTCTGTCTCTCCAGAGAGCATACGCACTGTATAGCAAAAATCTCTCTTAAGATGAAAAAATAAAAGAATTATTTTAATTTAATTTTAGTCCTTGTTGTTTCTTAAAATTTGACTGGAGGAGGGCTGGCGGGTGGTGTAGTTAAGCATGCTGAACTCCCACATGGCTGACTGCGATTTGAGTCCCAGACCTGGTGGCTTGCTTTCTTACTTTCTCTCTCTCTCAGTTTCTATCTGGTCAAATTTAAATAAATAAATAAATAAATAAAGTTAAATAAAATAATTTTAAAAAAGAAAAGTTTAAAAAATATTTGACCAGAGGAGAGAAAATGAGAAAGCAAGCCACCAGGTCCAGAAGTCAAACCGTGGTCAGCCATATGGGAGTCCAGCACCTTAATCACCATGCCACCTGCTGGCTCCTGTTTATTTTTATTTATTTTTAAAATAATTACTCAGTTTTATCTATTATCATTATTTTAAAATTTGAGCAGAGAGAGGAAAGAGAGAAGGAAAGTGAGAGCAGGTCATCAGGTACAGGACTAAATCGCAGTCAGCCATGTGGAATCCAGTGCCTTAACCGCTACACTGTCTGCTGACACCTAAGTTGAAATTTTATTTATTTTTAAAAATAATTATTTTATTTAACTTTATTTAATTAGACCAGAGAGGGAAAGATTGTGTGTGTGAGAGAGAGAGGGACAGTGAGAAAGCAACCCACCAGGCCCAGGACTCGAACTGTGGTCAGCCATGTGGGAGTCTAGTGCCCTTAATCACTACACCACCTGCTGGCCTCTAGGTTGAAATTTTAAGTAACAGTGGTCTGGGGAGACTTACTGAGAAGGTAAGATTTGAGCAAAGACTTCAGGAGGATAGGAAGTTAACTGAGTAGTGACTGGAGAGAGCATTCTGGGCAGAGAGCCAAGCCAGAGTGAAGGCTCGGGTCACACTGAGTCTATAGGCAGCAGGAGGCAAGGGCGCCAAGCAGGGAGACCTTGGGAGCAAGGCCAGCGAGGGGAGAGCAGGCCAGCTAATGGAAGGCCACCTACAGCTTCAAAGGCCCTCTCCTCTTCTCAGGGTGAAAGAGGAAACACTGGAGGATTATGAGCCAAGAGGTGACAAGGTCTGCTTGTATTTAAAGGGTCCATCTGGCTGCTGACCTGAAACCTGTCAGGGGGGCAGGCACAGAGCAGGGAGAACAGGTGGGCAGCTCACACGGCAGCCCCAGAGGTGCAGTGCTGTCCAGGGTGGGTGGTGGTAGAGTGAGGTGAAATGGGCAGGCGCTGCCATGGTTTGTGGCGGGAGAGCCCCCAGAAGACTGAGTTGTTTCTATAGGTGGTTGGGACTCAGGAACTCTTTCTCCTTTGGAGAAAATGCTGGCTAGCTGGGCCATCTGTTGGCTTCTGTGCCAGTCAGCATTGTGGTGGCCACTTAGGGAGGCTTGCAGAAGCAGGGCTCCTGGGGCTGGCTCCGGGCTCCAGGGCGTCCCCTCTAGCGTGGAGCTGTGTGGACTCTGGTTGCGGCACCCTGCCTTGCATGGAGTCTCCGTGCTGGAGGGAGACTTATGGACTTGGCCCTGCATGTGCACCAGTCAAGGTCTGCCCAAGGCCTCATAGTGAGCCACAGGCTGGCCTCAGGACAACCCTTCCTGCTGCAGAGCTAGCACTGGTCAGTGGCGGGAGCCACAGCCTGGGTGGGAGAGCTGGGAAGTCCTTCAGCCCCCACACGCCTTGTGGCTTCTCCTCCTGACAGGAAACACACTGGGGAAAAACCCTTTGAGTGTCCTAAATGTGGGAAGTGTTACTTTCGGAAAGAGAACCTCCTGGAGCATGAAGCCCGGAATTGCATGAGTCGATCGGAACAGGTACTTGGGAGCGACCCAGGTACTTGTGGGCAGGGGCACGCTGGCTCTGGCTTTGTGCCCTCTGGGAAGGGCCCTGGAGGCTCCAGGACCTGAAAACTCAAATGAGCTGTAGGGGCTTTGGATGTCATTGAGTCCACCATGCCCTCGTGTGAGGACACAGATTCCAAGGGATGGAGGGGCCAGCCCAGTGGGGATTTTGTGGTAGCCTGTCCAAAGACTTTTTGGGCTTTGGAGTGGGGGAGCTCTAGTAGGGGCTGTGGTGGGAGAGGCCTCTCGGCCATCTCTACCCACCCTGACATTGGCCCGTGTGGTTGGGCCCATCCAAACTCAGCCCTTCTAGAGGCATGTCAGTGGCACCTGGGGCCAGGGATAGGATGAGGCAGCCAGGCCTTTGGTGGGTGTGCAGCATTCAGGGACAGGCAGGGCAGGCAGGTTATGTGTTGCCCTCTCCCACCCTAGCGTCCCACCCCTCAGGCACACTTCCCGGCAGCAAGAGGAAGCCCCTGCAGAGGCTGCCATCACAGGCAGAGGCCCCCCCTGATGCTGGCCCTGCTTGCCCCTCACACTGCCAGGTCTTCACATGCTCCGTGTGCCAGGAGACCTTCCGCCGGAGGATGGAGCTGCGGGTGCACATGGTGTCCCACACAGGCGAGATGCCTTACAAGGTCAGCCTCAGCCTCTTCCAGGACCCCTCCCGTTGAGCTCTTTCCAGAGGTAGTGTCAGTGCCTTCCCCTCAACAGCTTTCAAGGAGCCTGCTGTCCCTGCCTGTCCTGTGCCATGTGATGGGGTAGGGCCACTGGCCACAGCCTCACCTCTAGGGCCCTTTTGGGCCCTTGTTGCTTTTCATGGAGGGTGGGCTCCTCATTCCTCTGGGCATGGGACTGGGCAGCTGAGCACTGGGGGACCCTCCTTGTGCCATCCTTCACGCCGTATCAGGGAGCCTCCCTGCATCTGGGCCCGGGCCCTGTTCTTGCCTTCCTGCCCAGTGGCCTGGGGTTGGGTGGTAGGGTTCTTTTGGTGCAGGCTGCCCTAGAGGTGACTGTGGGTCTGTCTTTCAGTGTTCCTCCTGCTCCCAGCAGTTCATGCAGAAGAAGGACCTGCAGAGCCACATGATCAAGCTACACGGAGCTCCCAAGCCCCACGCAGTAAGGATCAGGGCCATGCGTGCTCTGATTGCTGGGACAAGCGAGTGAGGCCCTATGGCTGTGCCCAGAGCAGGCAGGAGGCCATGTGATATCTGTCATTGCGGGGGCAGAGGGACACCTGGGCTCTTAGGCAGCTTCAGTCTGTCCTCTACCCTGGCCCCTCAGTCCAACATGTCTGCCCCACAGTGTCCCACCTGTGCCAAGTGCTTCCTGTCCCGCACGGAGCTGCAGCTGCATGAGGCTTTCAAGCACCGCGGGGAGAAGTTGTTTGTGTGTGAGGAGTGTGGGCACCGGGCCTCCAGCCGCAATGGCCTGCAGATGCACATCAAGGCCAAGCACAGGTGCGGGTCAGCCTGTCCTCTCTTGGGTCTGGACCTGCTGTCTTTCTGGGAGGGGACCTAAGGGATGAGCAGGAGTTTGCCAGGCAGAGAGGTGATTTCAGGCTGAGAAGGCTCTGTGCCGCCTGGACAGTAAGTTTCCTTAGTGTTGACTCCTGCTCCATAGATCTCCCGTTTGCTCTCAAGATGGAGGTGGCAAAAAAAAAAAAAAAAGATGGAGGTGGCGTCCCTTTCCTAGCACTGTCCAGTGCCCCTGGATGCTGCAGAGTGAAGGGGGCTGCTTCCCTCGGTGATTGCCTCCACCCATCTCCCCACCTGAACAGGAACGAGAGGCCGTATGTCTGTGAGTTCTGCAGCCACGCTTTCACCCAGAAGGCCAATCTCAACATGCACCTTCGGACGCACACAGGCGAGAAGCCCTTCCAGTGCCATCTCTGTGGCAAGACCTTCCGTACTCAAGGTGAGGCAAGTCTGTCCACTCCTTGCTCTGGGGCTGAGGCCAACAACTGAGCCCCTTCCTTGTCTCTGCAGCCAGCCTGGACAAGCACAACCGCACTCACACGGGGGAGAGGCCCTTCAGCTGTGAGTTCTGTGAGCAGCGTTTTACTGAGAAGGGGCCCCTCCTGAGGCACGTGGCCAGTCGACACCAAGAGGGCCGGCCCCACTTCTGCCAGATCTGTGGCAAGACCTTCAAAGGTACCTGGGCATGTCTGGGGGAGCTGAGGGTGGGGCCATCCCATTTCCTCTGATCTGAGTTGGAGGGTCCCTGTGGAGAGCGTTCAGAGGCAACACTTGTTCAAACACTTTCTAGTACCAGAACCTTCTTGCCAGCGAATCTCTTTCATTGCCCATGTGTTAGAGAGAATGCTGTTGCTTTGACTGAAGTGGTAGGGCAGGATCCCCCTAGGTTCCCATGCAGTAACAACTTCGGGGGTGGTGGCAGGGCCTGTGCAGCAGCTGCAAGCCACTGGGCCCAATGACTGGGAAAGAACCCTGTGCTGACTCCTCGGCCAGCTCTTTCTGCCTCTGTCCCAGCCACCCACAGCATTTCCTTGTGTGCCCTGGGACTCATTGTCTCCCATCCCCGGGCACATTCCCTGCCTTGTTCTCACCTCTCCTCACTCCCGTGGTCCCTTCCGTCATTCAGCTGTGGAGCAGTTGCGTGTGCATGTCAGACGACACAAGGGGGTGAGGAAGTTCGAGTGTACTGAATGTGGCTACAAGTTCACCCGACAGGTAGGTTGGGCCTTGGGTCATCTCCCCCATCCCCAGGATCTCCCCCAGCCCAGTCCTGAGCTCGCCTCTCTCCAGGCTCACCTGCGGAGGCACATGGAGATCCACGATCGGGTGGAGAACTACAACCCACGGCAGCGCAAGCTTCGCAACTTGGTCATCGAGGATGAGAAGATGGTGGTGGTGGCGCTCCAGCCACCTGCAGAGTTGGAAGTGGGTTCTGCTGAGGTCATCGTGGAGTCCCTGGCCCAGGGTAGCCTGGCCACCCAACTCTCTGGCCAGAGACTGTGTGGGGATGACAGCTTTGCTGGCTCGGGTGTCCTGGAGCCCTCCCTTATCATCACGGCTGCCGTCTCTGAGGACTGTGACACGTAGCCCATCCGCCCACCCACTTGGCCCCAGCCCCCAATAAACCACATGGCTTTGGACTTGCTTGCTTTGGTCTGTCTGGTAGCCCATGCCCTCAGGATGAAATGGTGGCCTGCCCATCTTCCCTGGACCTCAGAGCTCACCAGCCACTTCCCCCCCCTTGGTAAGAGATGTCAGCTAGCTGAGCAAGACCAGTGGAGAAGCTTTGAGGGCCAAGCCTCCGGCCCTAGATGCTCTCCACATCTATCTTCTGTCCTCACTTTAGATAGATATTAGGTTTTTGCCATAGGGTGCATGTGCTTGCTGGAGAAAAAGAGAAAGTGAGAAATCACCCCTCAGGAGGGGTGGCCACACTGCAATCCCCTTTCCATTCTCGGGATTTTCGGCAAGCAGCACACGCATCTGGCATGATTTTCAGAATGCCAGATTCAGGATTCAAACCACCATAGGCCATATGTGAGTCCAGTGCTTTAACCGCCATGCTACTACCTGCTGGCTCCTGCATTCTTTTCGGAATTCAGAATTGAGAACATTGTCCAAATAGAGCAAAAATGTCCTATTTGAGAGTAGTGGTGGCACCAGATAGTGGGATAGAATTTGTTATTAAGCCTCTGGAGTCAAAATCAAGTAGCCAGTGTTCCCAGTGATGGCCAGCAAAGACTCAGGCCTGAGTGTAGCCAACTATGCCTGGGCACCTGAAGAAGTGCAGGCTGGTCACCTTCCCATGGGAGGATTCTCCCCTTGGGTGGTTCTTAGCTCTGTGTCTCAGTGGTCTGGGCTTTAAATGGTGGGAGCCCTTGGTGGTCCCAGGTTCAACAGCTGTGGGGTGCTACGTGTCATGGAGGGAAAGTGCATGGAGCACTAACAATAGAGCAGGTTGCCTGTGTTTACGTTTCTTTTGTTTTTAAACATTTATCTGTTTATTTGTTGTGGTTTTCAAGCCACAGGGTCTGGCAAACAAACCTAGTCAGCCAGGTGGGAATCCAGCGCCCCAGCCACCCCACCTGCGGGCCCCACATTGTTCTCCAGCTCCTTTACTTATGCGTGTGACCCTGAACAAGTTACTACTGTCTTCATTTCCTTTATCTTTTTTTGTTTTGAAGAGATTTTTGGTATAGGGTGTGTGCACTTGCTGAAGACACAGAGAAAGGGAGAAATCGCCTCCCACGGGGATAGTCACACTGCAATTCCTTCTCCATTCTCCTCTTTTTGGGCACACACACATATCAGGCATGAATTTCAAGCCACCAGGTCCGAGACTCAAACAGTGGTCAACTACATAGGAGCCCAGCACCATAACCACTACGCCACCTGCTGAATCCATATCCATCTTTTAGTGGAGCACATGCTTCACAGACAAGGAGTAAGTGAAAAAGCTCACCGTTCAGTTACTGTTATGGATAATATACTCCAAAGTTTATCTGGGTGCCAGGGGAATCTGCTCTCTGCTGTGTGAGCTTCCCTCCACCGTGGTGGCTGGATTCCAGGAGCAAATACTCCAAAAGGCTGAAGCTACAAGGCCTTTCTACGACTAAGCCCTAGAAATCATGTGGCATCACCTCCGCCACGTTCTCTTGACTATCTAAAGACCTCTTATAGACACGCCTCACCACTTGACAAAAGTCACAGACTAGACATAGTTTTGAAATTAAAATATTGGGGGGGACCAGGAGGTAGTGTAATCATTACGTCCCTGGACTCCCACAGTTGATTGCGGTTTGAGTCTGGAACCGAGGGGCTTAAAATTCAATGCCAGGGGACCAGCAGGTGACATGGTGGATAAAGTGCTCGACACTGCCACATGGTCGACCACTTTTTTTTTTTTTTTAAAAGAGGTTTTTGCTATAGGGCGCGTGTGCTCACCAGACAGAGACAGACAGAGTGAAAGTGGGAAATCACCCCCCAGGGAGGATGGCCATGCTGCAATCCCTTCTCCTCCATTCTCCTTTTGGGATCTTGGGCATGCACACACGTGCCCGGCGTGTTTTAAGCCACTGGGTCCGGGACTTGAACCGCGGTCTACTACATGGGAGTCCAGCGACACAGCCATTACGCTAACTGCTGGTCCCGCCGACCACTTTTTGAGTGCCGGACTTTGTAGTTTGCTTTCTCACTTTCCTTCTCTCTCTCTCGTCAAAATGAATGGATACTTTTTTTTAAGGAATTATTTTTTTATTTAATTTTATTCATTGTCATTATTTATTTTTTTGAAGTTGACCACAGACAGAAGGAAAGTGAAAAAGCATGCTGCTAGGCCCAACTTGAACAGCAGTCAGCCATGTGGGAGTCCAGCTGCCTTAACCACCACCTGCTGGCCCCTAATTTTTTTCTTTAATTAGCCTTCAGTGAGGAATTACTATTTTTTTAAAGAATTATTTTATTTAACTTTAATTAATTAGTTAATTTTAATTGACCAGAGGGACAGAGTGAGAGAGTAAGGGTGAGAGAAAGTGAGAAAGCAAGCCACCAAGTCCAGGACTTGAACTGTGGTTGGCCATATGGGAGTCCAGTGCCCTTAACCACACTACCTGCTGGCCTTGAATGGATAAAAAAGAAAGAAACAAAACAAAACAAAAAATCGCCAGGCATGTAGGTGTTCCTGCCCAGAATCCAGAGAGGAGAATGAGGGGATTGCAGAGCGGCCATCCTTCTGGAGGGTGTCTTCTCACTTTCTGTCTGTCTGTCTCTTTCTGGTGAGCACATACCCCCTATAGCAAAAATCTCTCTAGGGATGGGTAGGTGGCATGGTTCAAGTCCTGGACCTGGTGACTTGCTTTCTCACTCTCACGCACTCTGTCCCTCTCTAGTCAAATTAAATAAAAGTTTAAAAATAACTCTTTTTAAGGATCATTTTATTTTTATTTATTATTCATTTATTTATTTTAATGTGATGAGAGAGAGCATGCGTTAGAAAGCAAGTCATCAGGTCCAGGACTCGAACCGTGGTCACCCATGTGGGAGAGTCCAGGTCCTTAATCACCAAGCCACCTGCTGGTCCCAAAAGTTAAAAAATAATTATTTAAAAAAGAAAAATTATCTAAACAAAATTTGTAGGGGCCAAGAGGTGGTGTGGTTAAGGTGCCAGATTCCCACATGGCCAACTGTAGCTATAGTTCTGAACCTGGCAGCTTGCTCTCACTCCTCCCCCCTTGTGAGCATGTATGCCCTCTAGCAAATTAAATAATGAAATAATACTTGGGACCAGCAATTGGTGTTATGGCTATGTCACTGGACTCCCATGTAGTCGACCACGGTTCGAGTCCCAGACTCGGTTGCTTAAACTCCCACTGGGCGCGTATGCGTGTGTGCCCAAAATCCCAAGAGGAGAATGGAAGAGAAGGGATAGCCGTGTAGCCATGCCCCTTGGGGGGGGGGTAATTTCTTGCTTTCTGTCTGTCTCTTTCTGGCAAGCGCACTTGCCCTATAGCAAAAACCTCTCCAAAAAATAAATAGTAATTTTTTTTTTTTGAGATCTTGGGCACACATGCACACACGCCTGGTGTGAGTTTTAAGCCACTGGGTCCGGTACTCGAACCATAGTCGACTACATGGGAGTCCAGCAACATAGCCATTACGCTAACTGCTGGTCCCCCCCAAAAATAATTAATACACTTATTTTTATTATTTTGATCAGAGAAAGACAGAGAAAGCAAGCCACATGTGTGCATACCCAAAATCTTTAAAGGATGGAGAAATGTAGAAGGGATTGCAGTGTGACCATCCCCATGGGGGTGCTTTCTCACTTCTGTCTCTGGTAATGTGCTGTCTAGCAAACTAGAACTTTTTGCTCCCCTTCCCATCCCACACTGGCCTCCCCCCAGGTTCAGACAGGCTCTGTAGATGTGAACGACATTCTGGGCTTGACTGCTCACGTGGACCCACAGCCATTTTGGTATCCTCAGGTCCAAGGTGCATTCCACCAGATGGGACTGACCTCAGCCTGTGCTACCGCGGGGAGGGTGTGTGTGTGGGGGGGCCCTGGTGAGGGGGAACGAGACCCCAACAGATAGAAACCAGTTTGGAAAAGGCAGGTGAGGTGACAGTTTCCCCTTTGGAAGTCATAGGTGCGTCACCCTGTGCTCCTCTGTATCTCAGGCCTCCCTCCTTTCCACGACTTATCCTCTAACGATCTGAGACGAGAGGAGGCCTGCAAGGTTTTGTAAATGGTGAAGCTCCTTTGGACTGTGAACAAGTACCCTGGACTCCCCCAAACTGTCCCTTTCCCATTAGTGTGGGACCCTCCTCAGGCCTCCCTCCTTTCCACGACTTATCCTCTAACGATCTGAGACGAGAGGAGGCCTGCAAGGTTTTGTAAATGGTGAAGCTCCTTTGGACTGTGAACAAGTACCCTGGACTCCCCCAAACTGTCCCTTTCCCATTAGTGTGGGCCCCTCCACTCTGTTCCTTGAAATCTCTCTGCCATGTCCCCCACATCTGGGCTCAGCCAAAGGATTCCCAGAAGGCACAGCAGCAGGAGGACAAAAACCACGTCAGTGAATGAATAGGAAATACTTTTATTTCAAAAGGTATTGAAGGCATCTTAAAACCTTAAACAGGATTCTAGACATGTAAGCCTACAGAATAGACTAAAATAAATACACAAGTCTGCCCACCCTCGGGTGGGACTGGATGTTGGACACTGGAAGGAGGCTGTCCTTGTTATGTCAGAGTCTCTGAAGTCATAAATATAGAATATGTTATAGTAGATCAGCATTAAATACTAGTCACTGGATTTTCATAACAAACATGTAATGCACAGGGACAGTCCCATCCCCTACATTTGTCCCAGAGTCCATGTCAAAATGTCTAACTGGTGGGATGTTAACAGCCCAGACCCAGTGGCAAAGGAGGGGGACCTGATCCTGGACCCCTGGCTGGAGGGACTTGCTGTTGCTGAGACTCCCACCTGCTCTTCTCCCTCCCTGGCATTTCAAACCCAAAGATGAGGCCCCGATAGTAGACTGGGTAGCTCTGGAGTGTAGACAGAGGAGAGGGGCATAAACCCAAGACACCTCTCCTACACCAGCCCACATCAAAACCCTTGTATAAGCAGCTGCCACAGACAGTGGCAAAGATGGCTGCTGTCACAGTGAAGCAGTAACATGCAAAAGCCCGAATCCAGAGCTCGCCTGAGTGAGGCCTGCTGCTTTTTTCCTTGTAGACTGGATAATCTGCTGACAGGAGGTGAGCCATCACACTGAGCTGGGATGTCTCTGGGTGGGCTCAACAGTCCCCAGGCAGGTTAAATGAGGGCCTTAGGTGAAGGTGCAGCCCCAAGGGAGGGGAACAGTCCTGCCTGCGGTGCGAGGCACACAACAGTGCCAGAGGGGTGCAGGTCCAGGACACCACACCTCTCCACACGGCCCACAGAAGTCCACAGCCCGGCCTGAGCCAGCTGAGGACATACTGTCTGTGCATCACCCTAACCTCTCCACAGGGCATGGTGCACAGTACGGGCCTCGTGATGACCAGTGAGTGACCACACAAGGGGAGCAGGAAGCTGCCCTGAGCTGTGGCAGGGGTTCTAGAAAAGGCTTTCTAACCCAGTGGTGATGACACAGCATACAACAATGCACAGGGCTTTTTAGGAGCCCATAGAGAGGCAAGGCAGGGCCGCCCGCAGCCCTGCTCGTGTCCTGGGAGAAATTAAGGCAACAACCCATGCCATTTGGCCAGTAAAAGGGTTGTAAGTACAACTTGTTACATGACAGTGCAACAAGGACAGTGTCCATGGAGAGGACACATCTTTACAATCACCACACTAACAAAAGGCAAGGCAACGTTTGCTTTCGTGTCACGTGGAAACTGCAGTCCCAGTGCCCTCTTCTCTGAAAAGAGGAAAGAGCAAATTCAAGCAAAGGCTACCTTGGGTATCCGTCAGGGCACAGCACTCAATTCAGGACGTTCTCTGCTTCAAAGGGAAAACCCAGGACACTCCACCTGTGACATTCTCTGGGGCTCCTCCCCTGCCACTTTTGCTGGATCTGGCCTGGGCTTCTTGCAGAGCCTGTCACCCTCCCCTGTGCAGAAGGCTTTGGCAATAAATTAACACTTTGTAGATCTGAAAATCAAACAAAGCTGACCCTGTTTCTAGCTCTCCCTTTCCCCCACTTCTCTTTTGTGTGTGTGTGTGTGTTTTGCTGTAGGTCACATGTACTCACTGGAGAGAGACAGAGAGAGAGGGAAAAGTGAGAAATCACCCCCGGGGAGAGGGCCACGCAGCAATCCCTTCTCTATTTTCCTCTGGGGAGTTTGGGCACGCACGCACACACACCCAGTATGATTTCCAAGTCACCAGGTCTAGGACTTGAACCGCATAGCTGACTATGTGGGATCCAGCACCTTAATCACCATGTCATCTGCTGACCCCATCCCCCTTCTCTTAAGGGACAAACTACAAGCATTTTAAATCCTAGACCCAACCACCGAGACCACCAGTGCTCAGAGTTTCCTTTAGAAGCAATAAGATCCTTCCCTTGGAGGCGAAGGCTTAGGCACCTGCAGCTGTCCTGGCTGGGTGTCAGTGTCAGACTCCCGAGGTCTCACTTTCCAGGAAGAAGCTATGACCCTGCACGGCAGGCATTCACCCTTTCCTTCCTTGGCCTGGGATAAAGGCCCAGGTGAGGCTTCCATGCTGAGTAGAGGGACCAGGGAAACTCAGACGGGCAGGGCCACATCCTTTGCAAACAGAAAACTCAGGAGGCCCTCTGGACCCCAGTCTAGCGCACACTCCGGCTCAGTTCTGCAGCTTATGGTCAGCGTCTGGGAGGCCCACCCTGGGAGGTGGGTAAGGAGTACTGGATGTGGAGACTGTAGCCGATGACTACTTGGTCCTCGATGCTCAAAGCCATTCTCTGACCCTCATGGGAGGACCCCTCCGCTCCAGTGGCTCTCCTCCCAAAGTGGGAACTAGTCGTTGCGTGTGGCAACAGCAGGAAGGGTGTGTGCTGCACGTGTGAGCCGGGGATCTGCAGGCTGGGAGTGATCTCGGGCAGCCAGACACATGTGCCGGCAAGGCAGTGGCTCTTCTTCGACCCGCAGAGGCATGTTCACAACCAGCTTTGACTCCAGCAGCTGGACTCACACTAAATGCATGGAAACATTCCGGGTGATGGATCCGGGAGCTCACTCAGCCACCCAGTGAGACCCACCCTTCCTTCTGGTGAAGGAGGGGCCGCTGCCCCATGGGGTGCCAAGGTACCTGCACCGAGGCCCTCCTGGGGCCAGGCCAGGGCTAGTGCAGCTCGTCACGGTTCTGCGGTGGCCGGTGTTGGCCTGCGTCCACATCATTGCTGCCACTGTCCCGTTTGA